TGTGTGTGAAGGACCCGAGATGTAGGCCTACGGATTTTGTTTTCGTTTTGTTTTGTTTTAAACCCAAGACATGCACTCATCAATCCTCGGGTTGCCTTAGACCTGTCATGAGGACTTGAGCATGAGTCCTCACAGTATAAGTCTCACTGTCGCCCGCCAGCCTGTTGGTATTTGGGCGACAAGCACTTTGCCGACAGGCCGAGGTGACGCAGTTTCGTTGGTGTTTTTAAGGCTAGGCGCGCACAGCGCTACTTTAGTTGCGCAACTGTTTTCTGGCCCAAATGTAAACCATGAAATAGATAAGAAGCCCCCCGCGCACAGTCGCACAGGCAACTCGGGTTTTTGGAGACTGAAAAGTTTGTGTTTTTTTCACAACTTTCCGGCAACGCATCTGTTGCTCAAATCTCCTGTGTTACATACCAAACTGACACACAGCGCGCACAGGCAATCAAACTGTCTCCGGACTCGACAAGGCCCCACCACTCCCCACATTTTTTCATTCAGTACAACAGACTTGACAGAGGTACATACATTGCATTGTTTCACTTCCACAAGAAATGAAAATGAATAGCGATCCAATTTGGATTTTAAAAATTATTTCTGTCATTGCAAAAAAAAAAAAGCCTGTCCTCAACAGCAAGACCTCATACGATAATAGTAAGAAAACTTGGGAGGGTATCCTGACAAATCTTCATGCAGAAAATGCCCTTTTAAAACCTTTGACTGGTCAGAGGGTGAGCACAAAAACGCTTTTTACATTGGTTCGTGGAAGTCCATGGCGTCAAATGAGAAAGTCAGTAATGATGCTAGCCTACTATGCTAAGCTGTTGCCTGGCTGTTGCTTAGCTCTGTGCGCGCAATGTATAAAATAAGTTGCCAGGAGAAAGCAACTGTTGCACCACTAAGTAAGATTGCCCTGTGCGCGCCTAGCCTAAATGTGACATCAAAATGTAGTTCTATTCTTTTTATTGGCAAAATCATAACAATAATAATAATAGCATTTTGATAATCAGTGCGTACCAGAAACAAAATCGACGACAAATCGCTACTTCAGAATTACTATATGTTCTATCTTATATTTTTGGCCGTTTTGAGTTACAAACACACACACACACACACACACACA